AAGTTAAGAGGTTTAAATGTTAGGTGACATGAGAAGTTTCTATCAAAGAGGTTCTTCTACCCTAGATGCTGAAAGCACTATTCTTGTATTTTCAGTGGAAACAAGGAATTGTCTTTTTGAAGATAGCTTACGTTGGTTAACAAAAAGAAACATAATTTGTAAAATTAGATGATATTTACCACAAAAAGTGAAAGTTTAAATGCACGGACATATGTAAATAGGCATTTATATCTGAACATTCTACTTATTGTGATGCGTGTTCTGGTATCTTGCTGTCATAATGTCATCAGCTCATGATGTCTGAAATTATCACGTTTGCTATTTGTCTGTGTCCTACCTCTTTCCTATGTCCGTGTCCATGGTTCTTAAGGTAGGCCCTCCCTAATTCTTAGAATCCACCAATATAATTAAATGTTCAACTTGCAATAATCATTCTCGATTCTTTTTACTTATTTATCAGCTCTGCTTCAAAATCATTTACACTGAATTAGACTTTGTAAGAAGATTTCTTTGAATATGATACATAGTGCTAGGGAAATGAATTGCAAGATGATGATTGCCTGTAATTTTCTCCTTGAAGTTGATGTTGTTGGGTTCGATTAATCCTACGAATCTGTGTGGCCCAATCTACTCGTTTTTTGATTTGATTTAAAGTTATCATCGATTCAAGTTAGGATTAGGATGCTAACCACATGGTCTGGTTAGACAGTTTCATGTTTATCAAGTTTGGTAGTTATCTTGAATATCTAAAAGATAGGATCAATCGGAGTGTAATCTCACGGTTGTGATTAAACCATGATGGGTAGGGTTAACCACAAATATCTATTTAAGGGTGGGAGTCCTTCCTCTCAACCGTACGCAGAAAAGAGACCAAATTCCCATCGTTGGCTATGAAAGGAGAAGGAGAAGACTTCCATTGTTTTCGACGGTGAACGGTAACTTTAATCTAAATTTTTAGTTCAACTTTTCATGTCTAGGTCGTTAAATAATCCAACAGTGGTATTATAGCTCAGTTTGTGCATGAATTTTGATCTAGAATTAAAGTTTTTATTTTCGGATTAAAAAAAATTGGTCTCCTTTTTGCTGTCTTCAATGGTCACGGAACTTAAAAAAATATCATGGCCATGACTACCTGATGCTCGCTGTCTTGTATGCCCGCCGAATCCATGCTACCTGATGCTTCTTTCATGAAGAAATTATTAATTATTTTGTATTATATTTGAGTAACGGAGTGATAAAAGCAGTAGATCTCAACAGATCTCATATAAAGTTTGTTGTCTTGCATAAAATAACTCAACAGAACCCATGCGGCCATGGTCATTGTTGCTCCTCGTGGCCATGGCTACTCCTCGCGGAAGAAACAGCGCGCGGCAGGGGTGCGGCCGACATCAAGGATGTGGCCGGCTGCGGGGTTTGCAGCCGACGTAGCGGGTTGCAGCCGCGGCGGCCATGGACCGGCAGTGGAGGGTAGGGCTTGATGATGGCAAGCGGTAATATGCGCTAGGAAGTGGGATTAGGGTTAGAGTTTTAATTAATTAATTAATTAAATTAGTAAATAATTAGATTAATTAGTATAATTAACTATCATTTATTATTTGAGTTATATAACCCTATAACCCATTAAGCCAGACTCGATCCAATATGTAATGAACCCGACCCGCTACAGTAATGGATTGGATCCATTAAAATTCTGACTCAACCCATTATGAAATGGGTCAGACCCATTAATTTTCAGACCCGACCAATTACAATTTTAACCTTTCATTTTGTTTTGGTCGCTACAGATCCGTTTTAAGTCTGATTTGAGCCCATAAATAGTCGTTGGAAAGATTATTCTGTGTACTTTTCAACTATATAGTTTTTATTTTCATTTCATAAAGTTTTAATATAGGAATTTAAACAATTCATAAAAAAATTATTTTATGCACATAAAGATAATTGATTTACCCTGATTATATCCTTAATTTAGGTAGGGTAAATATTTGGGTTCATGATAAAATGGATTATAGTATTAGATCAACCTATGGGGTTAAGGAAGATCAGTAAAACAGTCACTTAGAAATTATGGTAGAGTAGATTAGTATCTTGCCCAAAGGTGACCAACTTATAATACCCTAATTTTATAATGTTGAGTTTAGTCTTATTTGGACTGGAAGGTTGCACTTATCTTTGGGTGGACTACTAGTCTTGCC